AAAATCCAAATTACTAGCTGGATCCTCTAGACCCTAATATATTCTGACCTCAGCTTAACCTGTACCCTTGTTTTCTTCCATAGCCCATCTCACTACAGTCCAGCAATCTTTGCCTCCTGTTCCTCCAACATACCATGTCTGTGGTCTTTGCATAATGGGGCTGGGCTTCTCCTGAACCTTTGTGTAACTGAATCATTCTCTTCCAGGTCTCAGGATAAAACTCACCTCCTCAGAGAGATCTTCTGTGACTATCCTATCTTCGTATTATGTTGTCTTCTTTTCTTTATGAGATGTTACGCATTTCGTTTCTATCTCCCCTGTTATATAAACAAGGCTCATGCTTTTTAGTTCATTTTGCTGTATTCCCAGTGCCTAAAAATGCCTGGTTCAAAGTAGCAATTCAACACGTTTATTGAATTAATAACTGGTGAATATATGTAATTCACACTTGCACAGCACAGTGTCTGACGTAACTATTTAGTTGAGTAAGTGAATTAAGGAGTAAATCATTAAGTATATCAATTTAAGAACTAATGATTGAAGTCTTATTTGAATTTTATCCCATTCTGTACTTATGTATCTATCATAACTCTAAAGAGGAGAAACCATGCCTACTGATATTAATAAGATACTTACAGTCTGAAGCTCAGGAAATGCCTCTAGGTTTCCTGGAGGAAAATCTAAAGATAGCCCCAGAGCTTTAATCTCATGTTGTTGATTCTGCTGACTTGTAAGTTGAAGATGCTGAAATGATCTATGCACCAGAGTTTAGACTCTTTTGTTCCCTAAAACATTGTTTTTAAGAACTCTCTTTTAATTTTTGATTTAAGGATGGGATCTTAAAAAAAACCTCTTATTTTAGAGAGTATTTATTTATTATAAGCATTTAGAATCTCCATCAGATTTTGTGACATTCATGCCATTTTAACTGCTGCTAATGAGTTTGGTAAAAGCTAAACATGGGAACCAAGTAAGTTTGGAATGTACATGCACGCTTGTATAAGTCATCCGGACGTACAGAGGGTACTCCAGCATCTGGGAGGGTAGCTCTTGCCGCCCACTCCCTTACACTAGCCGCTTCCGAGCCGGGGCTGCTCACGCTCTCGTGCACTGCTCACTCACTGTTCCTGTAGGAGGATGCCCTTCTGACTTAAACTTTAGCTGGGCTCACTCTCCACTGCCACCTGCCACCTTCATGCTGAAGAAGTAAACCCCATACCCTCAGGGTACTTGCTTCTCGTCTTGCCCAGAGACCAAGAATGCTGCCACTTCACTTCCACCAGTTTTAATATGGAAAACCTTTGGTGTTAAGATCTCTGGAGACTACCACAGAATTGGTCATTGTCACTAATACCATTTTCATTGTTTAGAAATCACAAAATGGAAGAGGAAAGATCTTTGGGACAGATGGGCATTCCAGTGTTTAGTTTAAAGGACTGCAGAAAGTGCTGTAATTTTGCAGGCTTTTCTGAAGTTTTTCCACTGACATAGAACAACATGTCTAATTGGGGTACAGGCCAGAGTTATCAAGACATTGGCATAAGGCATCTTTCTTTGTATAGCTGGTCACTTACTTCTTTTTTGTCCAATACATTTGAAATGAAAGTCATAACAAGAGACTAACTTCTTAATCTCTAAAAGTTGGTGCTCAGTCCTAAGTGCTTAGTGCTCAGTACTCAATACTCATGCATATAGGCATTGCCTGTCAGGGAAGCCAGAATATCAGTTTCAAGATTTCTATCAGTTATCCATGATACTCTTTTCCTGTATTTCTGTGACTAAAGGTAACAATAATAGTAAATGCTTATATGGTATTTACTATAATGCCAGTCCATTGTTCTAAGTGCTTTGCATGGATTAATTTTATCCTCCTAATAACTCGATCAGGTGCGTCCTATTACTGTTCCCATTTTCAAGTGGGAAACCCAAGAACCACAGAATTTAAACATCTTACCCAAAGTCATGCAGCGAGAAGGTAGGGTAGCTGGAATTTGGACCTACACAGTTGGGATTCAAAGCCACTGCTTTCCTTGCCGATCTCTATCCAGTCCTGCCTCTCGAAAGTTGGCTGTGGTGCCTAGTGAAAAATGTAGGGGAAAAGTTGCAGACACTTATACTTCTGCAGTCTCAGAGCCTGGATGAAAGAGGGGTTGCTTGTACTTGCTGGAATCAGGAAAACAGTGGGAAAAAAAGCATTCGACTGAGAATAAAAGGACCAGGATTCTACTCTTGATGTTTCTTCTAACTTACCTTCTGGACTGTGTAATCAGAGAGTAAGTTACTAATCTGAAGTGGCAGGCTCGGAGTAGAGCTGCAGTGTTCAAACTCAGCTCCTGTCCACCTGGGATTCTGCAGAGGGGTAGCTGGGCTGGCTTCTCGGGTAAGAGAGTGCTAAGGATACAGTTCCTTCTTGGCATTAAGAAGTGTTTCTTCCTTTTGCCTTTTCCCATGTTTTACCTTATTGAATTGATTCAAAATAGGTCTGAAAGAAGGCAGAGTTCAACTTTGAAGCTGCTTCCTTGCGATCTGATGGTTTTATCACCTACCAGAAAGCTAAGAGTGGCTTCAAAATAACATGCCTTTTCATTGACTTTTGGAGAAAGACAGTGTTCTTGTTTTCTTGTTCAAACTCTGACTCTAATGAAGAAATTTTAAGCCAAATAGCATGGGAAGGTATTTTTAAAGCAGGCAAGAAATGCTTTCCAAATTACAGCACATAAATGGCCATTCAATCTGTGCATGTTCCATTTGTGTGTGTACACACAGACAGACATGCCCATACACAATGCTAGTAATAATCTTCAGCCAACTATTTTGCTGCTTATCATTCATATTAAGGGGGATACACACACACACACGCACATGTGCACACCCACACACATTTTTGTTTCTACCTAGCTCGTAGTGATCCCAATTTGCACTTTCCATAATACTCAGCATGAAATCCACCCTAACTAGCTAGGTTCAGGTTAAAAGCACTTGGGTATCTGCTCTAGACTCTAACAAAAGGCAAATCAATTATACGACAAGTATTTAGTAAGTATTCGGTACTCGAGTACTCAGTACCCCATGGGAATTTACAAAGAAACTCAAGGCACCTGTGTCCTCTAGGCTCCTAGTACTTGTGATACACTAGCAGGCAGCATATAATTGAGTGTTAAATTGTCTGACACAGGCTGTTAAGTGTAGTGGGAGTTTCAGAGAAGAGGAAGAGAAATGAGAGCTAGTAAAATCAAATAAGACTTTGAGGGAGATGAAACTTGAACTCAGTCTGTAAGGGTAGGTGTCCTTTCAGTTGGCAGAAGGAGGAAGGTGAGTGGGGAAGTCCCTGTTTTGGATCTGTCATTATAGTAACTTCAGTGACTTGATGTGCATCACAAGGGGTGTAATTTGAGGGGCAACCAGAAAATTCTTCTGTCCTATCACGTATGAAAAAGATTCTACTATTAGATGTAATTTAATGTTTGTCTTTTAAAATAAAAATTCTCGGGGCAGTTAAAATACATTATGATGGGGTTACTTTTCATTTATACCTTAGCTAAATACAGCTAATTTCTTTCCACTGAAAACTGTAGCATAAGAAGGACTTGATCTCACATGTCTTAGCATCTCCCACATAAAAGCCTATCAAGAGATTCGTTCTTACGTCCCAAATCTCAGTGACTGGAAACACTTGACTCCCCAAGATAAGCTGTTTTAGCCTCCTTATGAGAAAGGGGAAACATACATCTGATTAGTTTCGTAGCGGTGGAAACTTTGGCTTCCATTTCTCTCTTCTAACTTTGCTAAGTCCTGACCTTCTATGTACATATTACCAAACATCAGACTCCTCTTGCTCATTTCCAGGTTCACCATCTTACGGTATATGAGGGTGTATGGTATATAAGGGAATAATTTAAAGAGAAAATTAGTCTCATGATTCCTCTGAGTCATCTGGGCATTAACTGACTCTCCTGACTCCTCAGTATCATGCCCTCAGGATCAGTGTTGAGCCACTCCCCATGGCAAAGACTGCTAGTTGTCCCCGGTTTGCTTCCTTTTCTTGCTCGGTAGTAGAACCTTTGCTTTTTAGCTATGTAGATGTCAGTGTGTAATAAAGACCACGCCCAGTCTTCCTTGCTGCAGGTATACCCCTGTGACTGAATCCGAGACAATCCTAGAGAAGCAGAAGTTTGGTGCGTGCAGTTTATAGGATGTATTTCTAAAGGAAGCAGCATGCCCGTCCTTGTTGCCTCCTTCTTGTTAGAATATAGTTGTAATATCAGGGTTTCTAGCAGCTGTCTTGGACAATGGGATGACCCTGGGAACGTGGCTCACCTATGGATAGTACCTATCTCAAAAGGTGGATAGAAAGAATAATGAGAGAATGCATAAAACGTATTTAGGCAGTGCTTGTCACGTAAAAAATTTCATATGAACGTGTTGATTTCAGTTTAGATTGAATTCTGACTTCTGTGAAAGGGCTGTGCATTTGTATGTGTGTTTTCCAACACTTCCCTATTCAATATCAGAAGAATAAAACATCAGGGCGGCAGCTTACGTTCAAAAGGAACCAGACTTGGACAGACCACATCTGCTGCACTATGCCTGTGTGCAGTCTAAGCTGTCCTGGCAGAGGTTCCATGGCGTTCTGCTAGATTGGCCAGCTCAGATTTGGAGAAATGCGCTGCAGAGGGAGGGACAGAAGGTGGATCTTGAGAGAGACCGGCCTCTGAGGCTGGAAGACCTATGTTAAGCTTCAAGTAACAAAGACTCAAAATAACAGAGAACTTAAAGAAGACAACCATTTGTTTCTCTTTAATCTGTTGTTTAGTGTAGTCACTTCTAAAGACCTGACGAGATTTTTCGACAAGCCACTATTCTTTTTTTTTTTAACATTTTTTGTTGACTTATAATCATTGTACATTGTTGTGTCAAATTCCAGTGTAGAGCACAATTTTTCAGTTATACATGAGCATATATATATTCATTGTCACATTTTTTTCTCTGTGAGCTACCACAAGATCTTGTATATATTTCCCTGTGCTATATGGTATAATCTTGTTTATTCTATATTTTGAAATCCCAGTCTATCCCTTCCCACCCCCCGCCCCCTTGGCAACCACAAGTTTGTATTCTATGTCTATGAGTCTGTTTCTGTTTTGTATTTATGTTTTGTTTGGTTTTTTTTTTTTTTTAGATTCCACATATGAACGAGCCACCATTCTTCTCTTCAGTCTTTGGGGAACTTGCAGTAGGGGTGTCATTCTTGCAATTAAGTACATTTTCTTGGGTCTAATTATTAATTAATTATTTCCTTTTTTCTTCTTTTTTTTTGTTTTTTAAACATCAACTATTGATTTATTGAGGTGTAATTTACATGTAATAAAATGCATAAATTTTACAATATAGTTTGATGAGCCACTCCCCATGGCAAATGTTAAATGTTTTTTAATTCTTATTTTTATTGAAGTGTAGTCAGTTTACAATGTTAGTTTCAGGTGTACAGCAAAGTGATTCAATTTTTTATATGTATATTTATTTTTCAGATTCTTTTCCATTACAGCTCATTACAAGATGATGAGTTTTAAAAAAATATATTCATCTGTGTAACAACCACCCCAATTATGCTATAAAACATTTACAACACACATAAAGTTTCCTACATGCTGCTATGTAGTCAGTCCTCTTACCACCTGGATCCACACTTCAGGTGACCACTGTTGTTTGCATTATTTTGGGTTAGTTTTGTCTGTTCTTGAAATTTGTGTAAAGAAATCACAGAGTCTGTATTCTTTAGTGTCAGACTCTTTTTGCTCAGCACGTTTCTTACATTAAGCTCTGTTGCATATTTCAGTAGTTTGTTCCTTTATATATATATCTGAGTAGTATTCCATCGTATGAATGTGTGAAGATTTGTTTAACCTTTCACCTATTGATAGACGTTGGGCTTTTTCTAGTGTTGTGCCATTATAAATAAAGTTTCTATAAGTATTTTGTACTTCGTTAAAGATTTTTGTGGACACATGTTTTCACTTCTCTTGAGTAATATCTAACAGTAGAATTACTGGATCATGCAATTGGTACAGTTTTTTCTGTTTTTAAAAACATGCTTTCATAAACCTCTGTAAATCATTAGTGGACTAAGAGGCGTGGATGACAGCAAACATAGAATTAGAACTGAGAAACTATAAAATTTAATGGGAGGAGAGGGCAGGAAGAAGCCTCTCTGAAAGCCGAAGTCCTAACACCTGAGCAGTGAGACTGGGTGGATGCCCTGAGCACGGCACATAGGCACTGGCCTGGGTGTCGGAGGCCTGAGACACGGAGGGGACCAGGGCCCTCTGTGAGCTCTGCCAGTCTCCCTATCTCTGCTCTTGATTGGGCTATTGATGTCTGTTAGGTTTTTTTTGTTTTTGTTTTTTGTTTTAATGAGAATTTCCTTGGTATAATATCTATGAGAGATTTTTAACACTTGCTGAGTGGGTGTCAGCATGGTACAGATGTGCGGGTAGGTATGTTCCAAAGGAAAGAAAAGGTTTTCCTAATCCCCTATTGTGAAGGTCAGTTCATTTGTTTAGACTTAAGGAAAAACAATGATGCATCCTTTAACAAGCTCTCTCTCCAAAATCAATGTGCAATGTGGGAGTTCTAGTGAGCATTTAAGGACTAAAAAATAATAAAAACAGGAGGAGAAAGCATAAACATGACGCAGGTTCATTAGGTAATAGAAATCATCGTGTTTACTTAGTCCCTTGTGGAAAATAAGACAGGCCAACCCTATTCTTCTATGCTCAGCAAAGTACTGAGAATCTAATGTGTGTTTTCCAGTTTTATTCTTTGTAAAATAAAATGGAAACTAAGGATAGTCTGAAAGTGAAAAGAGTTTGTGGGCAGAGATAGAGGAGGAATCTGCAGCCCTGAATGGTGTGGCTTTGTGAAGGCGGCCTGGTTCAGCTCCATGCTGTTCACACGTATTCTAGGCTCTTTTCTTTTTAATATCCACTGACCTCCTTTGTTTTAGGTAAGAGTATCAGAAACGAAGTTAAGTTGGATTAAGAAAAAAAGGAGGTTTATTATAAGAAAGCGGGGGTGATGCATGGACGCTGAGGGCAGGGATGAAGCTGAGCTTCAAGGGAAACTGGGAAGCTGGAAAGGAAAGCCGTCAGGGTGGGTGCGAGCTGGCTCCTCTGGACTTGGCTGCTTCTGTCTGTGCTCGAGCTCTGGGCTCCCCACTCCGTCATGTGGCAGAATAGGCCACCCCAACAGCTCACACGTTTCTATGTCATAGTTCTTGCACTTGTGAGTGGCTGCCTCATTGGTTGAATTAGGAATCTCAGAGGAGAGAAGCTGAGCGGTTTGAAACAGTGTTTACTTTTGGTCCCAATAGCTATGGGCAGAGGTGAGGGACATTAAAATCATAGAGTAAAATAGAGCTGTCAGGGGCTCACCTCGTTGTCTTCATGGGGTGGTTCTCAGAGAAGACGACTTGGCCAAAAGTCTAGGCAGGCACTTCAAAAGGTATTTTTTGTGTTTACTTAGTGCTCAGCCCCAAAGAAACTACTTAACCCCTTACGTGTTGTTCTGAAACAAAGTGGTGAAGAAAAATAGGATTTTTCACTTACTTCTTTGTATTGACTTCAAATAATATCTAGCTATTCTAAGTCAGTGTAAAGGAATAGTAAGATTCTATTAATTTGGTATATTTGCCTTGGAGAGTAAATTCTAAACTGCCTGATCAACTCATGTTATGAAGATTTCACTCTCGGTAAATTTAAAGCAAATGGATAACTGAAGATAGATCATTTATTTCATGGACGTTTTTAAGCAGTTGAGCTTATGTGCATGTGTTTGTAACCCATCATTGATACTCAGGGACAGGTATAGGATCTCCCAGAGCAACTTCTCTGTCATCAAAAACTTCTGAGACCATACTGAAGGAAAAAGTAGAACTGGCAGACAACGTCTAGTTACCTTCTGGGTGTGTTTACGAGAAGAACGCAGTGATGGGCCTCTATCTGCAGAATGCACATTTTACAAAAGAATTCCTCCCAGGTCCTTGGATTGCCTGTGTTTGGTACTGAGGACTTAGAGTCGGTCTCTACTGAGATTAGTCAAAATGAGGAAGGCAACTGGAGAGCCATTATTTTCATGCCTGATCGTGTCATCAGTCTTCTAGAACCTGAGAGAATGACAGTCTACACAGAACCAGTGTCTTCAGGCAAGCAGGGAGGGAGCAGATCTCAAGGGAGACACTGCTTAGTTTTAAGAAGAAGAAAAAAAAATCCATCTCTTAGTTTTGCCAACACGGCTCACCCCTGGATCTGAGACCCCTCACCTATTGAGACTGAAAGAGTTTCTATTAACCAAGATTTTTGAAAAATACAGCGGTGCTGGTGGTCTAAGTTAATTGCACATGACACAACTTAGATACTGTGGAGATACAACTTTAAATTTGGGCAAATTATTATGCATCAATAAATATTAATATGTAGCCAATCTTTCCAACCTTCAAATAAATTAAAAGGTATCAGTTCAAAAAATCAATTTGGTATAATTTCTGAAAAGAATATGAGTTTTAAAGATAATGAAGTAGGTGCTGTGAGTCAGCTTTGGAATAATGCAAGACGTTATGAGAGGATTCACATAAAACAGCCCTTTTTTCTCCCCAGCCCCTGAACTGATGAGGCCACTTGATTTTTAAAAATGTTTATTTTTGAACTCTATATTATAGTTAAAAAAATTTAGAACCATTTTATTGACGTAGGATTGAAGTACAAAAGTGGTTTGTATTTAATATATGTGATTTGATTTTGGAGCGCTTGGTTTTTTTAAAAAAAATAACTATTTAAGGAGGAGAGTATTGTTGGTTTTGAAATACTGCTTTTTGGATTTTGTTTTGTATTTAATTAATTTTGATAAAAATGCACACAAAATGTTAAAAGTTGCATGGAAAATAGGATCTTATTGGATCTCAGCTCAATGAAATGACGATCAAAAGTCACTAGACTGACAAGACACTAGTGAAGGAGAGGATAAAAATGCATTCAAGGGTAACACCAGTAACAGTGTGGGGATGTGATCAGGAATAATTCTAAAGCTATTGGTTAAAGTGTGTGTGATGGTGGAAGATACATGTTTTTCTGAACGTAAATAGAAAATAAGAGTAGAGGTTTTGTTCCTAACTCTGTATTGGCTTAAAATAACATATTGACAATCCTGCTGTTCTGAGTCAGATTAGCAGAATAGCATGCTTTTATTTATTTGATACATTCTCTTTGGAGACTGAAAGTAATTTATAGTATGACATTTGTTGTCTTATGCTATTAAGAATTTTTGGTATTAGGTATTCTGAAACCTTTACCTTCCTTCTGATATGGAGAGAGAGCTGTTAAATTAAAAAATGACTGATTTCATGTATGTTCCAAATCCGTTTCTACTTTGAAATTTCTCTACCATAGTATTTTCCACTACCTTTCTCTTCCTCTGCATATTTCCCTTTTCTTCCTCCAACTCATACATTAAGAGGAATCTTATAAAGCTCAAGTGAACAAATGTCTGGTTTTAAACACGGATGAGGATTCCTGTTTTTTTTTTTCCTCTCAACTTTATACATATGTGTGGCCTGTCATCAGGGAGTGATTTCATCATATTGATTGCCTCCAAAACTTACAGTACTCTTACACCCATGTTTGTTGTTGGCTCAGCATGGTTTGTGGAATGAAAATGATTTGTGTTCTAATTCCAAATATTGATTGACCATGTGTTACTTTGGGAACAAGAGCTGACTCGTTTCCTTAGCAGGATAATGAGAATATTACTGACCTGCTCTCAAGAGAGGTTTGGCAAATAGAGAATTACAAAATGCTTTGCATTAGAAAGGCTAAATATTCTAAGTGCTTTCATTCTTCTTGGCATAGCAGTGTTTGCTTGTGGACTGTTTTAGGGAAAGACTTTAACCAGGAATTACATGTGACTTTGCTTTGGCCACTGAAAATATCTGTATGTTGCAGTGGACCTGACCAAAAAGAGAGTTCTAGAACTCCAAAAATGCCCTGACAGAGTCTGACCATGCTTCCCTGGATGAGGACACTAAGAGCTTCCATGCCATATTTTCCAGATGGATTCACTGTAATGCCTGCAACTTAGCCAATCTGAATCCTTGCCTGCACACTTTCAGACAGTCTCCTAATTGGATCATCATTGGGAAAGGTAGAAAACAGTGTAACGGAGATCAAATGGGACTGAGCACAGCGAAGGGGATCTCACTGCTGCTGCTGGTGTGGCCGTCCAGCACAACCCGGGCTGTTCCAGTGCTGGCAACAGTTTACAGACGAAATAAATGAGGGATCACCCAACATTTCATTTGTCACTGTCTCAGCAGCCCAAGGCACAGCTCTGCTTTGCCAGCCATGTTTTCAGATGGAAGCGTGCGTTTCAATCACATTTGTTTTCCTGACACTTCAGGTGGTGCAAGGTTCTGTAGGCCAGCCTTAGCTTACTTGCCCTTGGCTCACTGCTTCTCTCTGGTGCATCTTCACAGCCATATCCTCATAGCTTAGCACACTGAGAGTTTATGTTGGTAAAATATTTAATTGCACTAGAATCTTAAGACCTGCAAGGGTCCCCAGGCAGGACTGAGTAGAAATCATTCTAGAGAGATAGCTGCTTACCCTCTAATCTCACACACACACACACACACACACACACACACACACACAGAGCTAGCGAACTGTCACACGTCTCAAGGTGTACATACTGAAGGGTGTAGCTGTCAGTATACTTAGCTCCCCTACCCTCACTGTCACCCCATATGTAAGTTCTGGCCTCAGTTCTAAGACCAGGTCTATATTCTTGGCCAAGCCATCATCTCTGAAAGGCACAGAGTCCTATGTCTGAAATAAAGATGAAAACCTCTCCTCTGATCCACATCGATCTCAGATATTTTGAGACTTGGTTAAAACGTATGCAGTAGGTATGTCTGCAGAGGGCTGGCATTAACTTCAGTTGATAAGTGTTGGATGATTGGTACTTGAGGGTTCATCGTGTTGTTCTCCATATGTGTATTTGCTTAAAATATTCAATAATAAAAAGTTTTAAAAATAGTAATTCAAAATAAAAACCTGCTCTGCCTACTTCTCAGCAGAGTTACAGGTGAGAATGATAGGAGACAGTATGTAAAAGTGTTTTCTGAATAAATAATAAAACACTAGAACAAGTGTATCTCAAAAAAGTATATATGGAGCACTCATATCAGACTTACCTCGTATACTAATTGGAACATAGCTGCAGAGTTCCACAGGCCT